TAGAACATGCGTTTTTAGACTGTACAGTAACAACAGCGTTTTACTCGAAAGCTATATCATGGTTCAACCAGGAAAATGACACCGACATTATAATTTCAAGTAAACTAATAACTTATTTAACGACATCCCACGTTTAACTCACCAAACCGATTACCCAAGGCGCAGACTACATCTTTTCGTCATTATTCTAAAAGAATACTTTTACACTTCTAAATGTTTAGAAAAGAAACCAAACACGCTATACTACAATGGCAAAGAGAGAAATGCGCTCTTCCCTAAATTAAAGATTTCCCCACGAAGCCTTTTTTTTCTGATTTAACTAGCCAATTGAAACAGACATACTAAATCAGAGCCCAAAATCTTACCTTTTTTTTCTACCAGCACTGTCTCTTAATTTACTCTGTAGTGTTCGTACAAAGTAACTAAGGTGCCGTTTTGTAAAGTACTCAAGTAATTATAAGTAGGCGAGTGAGCTTAATTAACGAATTGCGAGTTTTGTATTGTAATGTATTGTAAGTCATGTTCTGTTTAGTAATCAATGTAAGTAACAATGATTACGCTGTAAGTGACTGTTAGTAAGTGACCGTTAGTATAAGTAAGAAATACGTATTGGTGACTAATCCAATAAGTACAGTAATGTAATAAGTGGAGTGATGTCGAGTAATGTAAGTAGAGTAATGTAATGTAAGTTTAGTTCTGTACAAATGTTTCTTCAATAAATGTTTATTAAATCAATTAAAAAATTATTTCGAAAACCACATGTAAACCCCTTTTTTCAGGCTAACCACCAAATTTAAGCCATTGAAGTTCAATGGTGCTTTCATGTTTTATTCTATTCCATTTTTCCAATTTTTGCAAAAAAAAAAAACAAACAACGACAACAACAACAAATTAAGTGAACTCCAGAGCGTGAAATTAACTTTTTTTTCTGATAGCCACTTGGCTCCTAAATTCTTCAAAATGGTAGCCAATTCAAAAAAAGTTGGTCGCCATTTTCAAAGACAAACAAAATCTCTCTTTACGCTGTCAGCGTTCTAGATAGACCCTCCAAAATTAACGTGCTACAAAGTGGACACTAGGATGGATGATATACAACGTTCAGGCTCATCTAAATCCAAGATGGCGTCTAGTTATCGATGGAGATGCATGTGTTACGTTTTGGAAACAAACTTAACGAGGAAGTTTGCCGCGGATTTATCTCTGCAAATCTTTTTAATTCACTTTATCTCTTGGTAAGGTTATGATGAAACGTTCTAGTCGCCAATTTGGCGACTAACTTTCAGGATTTGGTCGCCAAAGTGAAAAATTTAGGCGCATTGGCGCCTGTATTAGGCGCAATTTCACGTCCTGACTACACACCTGGCTCTAAAAATCAGAATAAAGAGTAGATTTCATTTTCGGTTTTTATGAAATGCTACAATTGGAAGTTTTTTGGATCCCCCTCCCCTCTTGGTCTCCCCATAACCCCTACACCCCTGCATCCCTCCATTTAACATTCCCTCTCGTAAGCAGAGTTTATGTAAGACGCCCCACTGACTTTAGACTTATCCTTACCAACACCGTAGCTGTAATACATAACAAAGCTAGTTGTTGTTTCCACTTCGTGTTCGTGCAGTAGCTTCTCAGCTGATTTTACTTCGGCACAAGACTGAAAGTCTTAGAGATGACATAGTTCGAAGATACACGAAGGAGCTAATACCAAGATAGAGGTCATCTTGGGGAAAATTACCCTCTAAAAAATTGATTCGATTTGATTTTCCCGCACTTCTTGCTATGTACTGACTGAGTTTGCGCGTCTGGATTGCGTAATTATTTCGCTCGTGATCCGCTTGATTTCAGTTTCCGGCCCAAGGAATACGGTCCTTGAAAAAGAATCCAGCTTCATAACGCGCGCGTGATCGATATCGGTGCCATTGAGTCATGCTCATTCGACACATTCGTAAGTTTCACACATAGTTTACTCTGAATGGAACGTTACTCCGAAAGGAAAGTTTCTACAATTCATGCAAATGTTCCAAGTGTATAGGTTAGATCGAGTTTTCTTCCATAAATTGCACTACCGCCATGTTGTTTAGGCAATTTTGCCGACTACGGCCGACAATTTCACGAGGGTGATCGTGACACTCGGTCCCAGTCTCAAAGCGAAGAGGGGCCTTTTCTTCTATCCCTTCAGGGGAGTTTTGTAAGATTTAGGCGCAACCTGCCTCATTGACGCATTAGCGAAGGTCTGATAAGATGGTGTCTGTTCGTGATTATGAAATTTACTTACTCTTTCTTCTGCTGGTAAAGTTTCACGGGTCAGGTAATTGTGAAATTTATTCTCCTGCAAAGGATGTTACAGTGTTTTTTACCAAGTGCTATTTTAAGCTTAGAAACCGAAAACGCCGACCCTTAATTTCTGAACGTGATGTTTGTCAAATGTATTGATGTATTTTAAATTTAAGATATGATGTTGGAATTTCAATGACGTGATAAATGAAGTCTAAATAACTATGATGCGATAGAAATCAACAACAATTAGGATTTTATGCTTCAAGTGTAACAATACCATACGTTCAGAATATAACATCAACATTGAAACTAAGAAGTGCACTATAATCTTGATTAGTGTGATTCGTCTTCTTAGCCATGAGAAACGTTCCTGCTTTGTCAGGTGGCTTTCCATTACAAACATGATGGCTGTGGAAACCCAGGAAAGAGTTGCCATCTGTGCCTAAACTCTCTTCCTTAATTGCCATCCATTACTCATCATAGGGAAGAGTTGTTAACAATTTTCCACTCATTATTGGTTCAAAGAATGACCTCAACAAGAATATTTGCTGCTAGCTAAGTTGAGTGTGATTTTTCCTCCAGGTAGCAATCATGTAAAGAAACTACATAATGCACTTGGTTGGATAATTGAGCTTTTCTTTGCTCAATTATCTACATGTATGAATTGTTTATTGAATTGACCAGTTTTAAGCTTTATGCACATATGGTTGTGGTATCCCACACCTTCAATCATGGGCTACTTATTTTTGTTGTATATTTAGAAAAAGGTAAAGTTTTACTAAGACTAAAGTTTTTGAAATGTGTGTATATATGTGGGCTTATAATATACATACTGAGATTTACTCCAAGCTAAATTTGGAAAAAAAAATTGATTTGTAATGAGCTGCACAAGTTCTGATAGGTCAGTTGGTTTTCCTCACAAGTGAGAGTTTTGCCTTTGTGGTGTGGGGCTTGCCAAAGTGAATGAAAGTGAATGGCAGCAATGTTTGCTGGGTGCGTACAACTGTAGGATCATGACTTCAAGGTTAAAAACAAGAAATCAGCTGTTGGTGTAAACAAGTTAAATTAATTTATGAAGATAATGTCAGAGAAAGCTGGATTTCATGAAAATTGGTGAAAGTCTCTCTGATTTCGCCTCATGCAAACTGATCGCAATCTTTGTCAAAATCTTTGCTTGATCAATTCCTAACATTCAGTAGAATCTCCTCCAAAATGGCAGTACAAAAGACTTAAATTTCTAGATTCTGACTCTGATAAGAAAGCATTATGGTCCACACATGACATGATTGATCATTGCATTGTTTTTGCTGTTGTTGTTGTTTTAACTTGTGTTATGTGAAGACTTCAGTGATTAAATACCATTAGTATAATTGCTCAGGTGATTATAGAGATGCGCAATCCCTTATTGGTCAAGGATTGCATCATATCTCGCTATAATCACCAGGTGTGGGTGATTATAGCAAGAGCACTAAATTTCAAAATGGCTGCCTCGCAATATGTCAAATATCTGTGAGGAAGGGATAAAAGCAGTAGTAGAAAATTAAACTGTGAAGAGCACAAAAGATATTAAATGATCACTTGATTAAACAAAAGGATGAAGTTTTTGCTGATCGAATGCAAAAAGCCTCTTAAAACTTCTCGCTAATCTTGTTACAGGTAATCAACACAACTGTAACAAAATCTGGACTATGCTTTCTTTATTTACAGAATTTATAATAGAATTTGAAAGCACCTGAGCAATTACTGTATACTTAAACAATTATTTGTTGAAGGTGAAGGGAAGATCAATAAATAATATTCACTCCACCTTAAGCAAATATTTCTTAATTCTTATTCATTATTATGTTATTTTACCTTGTTGGGGCAATGGAACATGCTAAATATACCTTGGTTATACACTGTAGAACAGGGCAAGAATAGGGACAGAAGTGAAGCATGTGATCTTTTATTTTTTTTTCCAGTTTTTAGACATGATTTTTTCAGCAGTGAACTTTAAAGCCAATAAGAATTTTGTCCTGGTCACCGAGAACATTAAATGGTTTCTTTAATTTCTGTTGTTTTCTTCTTTCATGTACATCTTATTTGATGGGCAGGATGCTCAGATAAGACCATACAACTTTTCAAAAAAAGAAGCCAAAAGACTAGAAAATGAAATGAGTGGAATAATAAATCCCCCATTCAATGGTTTAAGATACATATAATATGTGTGGACATGTCTACTTTCCATTTTTCACCTTGATAAGTTCTTTTTAAAAAAATTTCTTCAAGTGTTCCACTGACCACTGAACACAGTCTGGAAATTAAAGAAAGTGCAACTTGTCAAAAATGATTTTCAAAAGGCACAGATAGTTACACACTACTGTTATTGAACCTTATATCCTAGCAACAGAAAGTAAATTTCGAGCTGATTGATATCAGTGAATACCAATATAGTGCATATTTACTCCTAACGTTGTTACTGTTTACTCTAAAAGTGCCTTTGTGGTGAACTCTATGTTAAGCCCTTTTTCCTAAATATTATCCTTACACATGTAACTAAAGGGCTGAGAATATAATGTTTATGGTTGTCTATTTTAGGGGGTGTGGATGTGGGTTTCACCCAGGAACCTTCAAATCCAAGCTACTTTAACAATGGTAGTAATGCCAACCTGGTGTGGGACTACACTGATCCACATAATAAGACTCAGGGCATTGTCTACAGTGTTCTGGTAAATAGTGCATTTGTCAAAATGATTTTTAAGGACAGTCGTGGTGTGCAAGAACATCCTTCTATCCCTTCATCTTATAAAGGAAGAGTTAAAATTGAAGGAAGAGCTACCCTGGTTATCAAGAACATCAACCCTGGAGATAATACCAAATTTAAATGTGAAATGTGGGGATGGCATGTTCGAAGTATAGTGCAGCTTATTGTGGCAGGTACGTATTAGAGACATAACCATTAATAATCAAATATAAATCAAATTCATTAAACTCATGTCTCATATTTCTGAGATCTGGAAAAAAGTAAACAATAGCATATAAATTTGCACAAACCTTCCTATGCAGGACTGAAAGTGGCCAGCTAACCCGACTTTTTGGAACAATAGTGCTACTTTTATATGGCATGCGACGCTCAACAAAAGGAGAAAATAAATTCTACCGTTTACTTTGTTGTAATTCTCGTGAGAAAGAATTCAAAGAGTTATTGCTTCATTCTTCTGGCACCAACTACTGGGTTGCTCTGTTATGCATAGATAACTATTATTAATATGAATAATAAGATTTTCTCTTAGCAAAGCTCTCAATTAAAAATGGCCAGTCAACATTAGAAACAATCCAACTAGTTCTATGATTTTGCTAAATCAGTGAAGGAGAATATTGCATGACCAATCACAGGCAGCATGTGAAATTAATTTGGTGTGGAAAAAATGGCATTGCTTTTCAAGGGACTTGCCAAAGGGACTTGCCAAAGGGAATGAAAGTCGACATTAAGCCTTTCGCTGCTTTCTGAGTATTATGATCTTCAAGGTTTACAGATATAAATTTAGTCAACAGAACGGTGACTTCCTCAAGTAAGTTCTGAGACTAAGGAGCAATCCGAGACTTAGATTTGATTTATGCGCTGGAGCAAAATTCTCCTAAAAGTTATGGAAGCAGCAAATCAGCAAAGTCTATAATCCAAGCTCTTTATGCTATTTGAAATACTTTGAGCATGCAAACAGAAAATGATGCAATGATGATCAACTTGGCAAGGTAGGGATGCTGTTCCTAGAAGATGCTGTTACTCATGGAGATCAGTTCAACAGCTCTAATTTTATTTGCTAATTTTGGTTTCTCCACCGAGAAACTGGCTGAGTTTCGCAAAGAGCTCCAATGGACTAAAAGTATTCCATTTCAATTTAGAGTATGAATCATTTTTTTTGAGCTTATGCAACCTAAACTTTTCAAGAAATTTTCGTGTATGAAACAGAAGCGTAGTGTTCTTTGAACAGACTCTTTAATTTTCTCTCTGAGTGTTTCAACTTACATTTTCGAACACAGTATCTTGGATGTCCTAACAATGTTAAGTACATGGAAACAAGTGTGATATTAAGTATGTAACTTCTTGGTCATTTAACTGTGATTCAAAGTTGAAAACATTTGTGATATCTCAATCATGATACTAAAAAAAAGCCTATTTAAAAACCTTTGCACGAATTCAGTCCGACTGCACATTGAGAGCAGGTCTCAGTTCTTGAATAAAAAAACATTTCATAAGGTAGGCAGTCCAATTTGTTCGTACTCATCTTTAAAACACTAAAATTCTTTTTAAGATCCCTCAAGGCCAAAGAGTGCTTGTTGCGAAAATGCCTGCCAATCGATGGAGTCGATTTTCCGTGTTCTTGAACATGTTGATGTAGATGCATGGCGGCGTGTAAAACCAACATAACCTGCATCGTACAGGTCACATTTAATGTTGTAAACAACGGTCGTGTGGCAAAAGACGAATTTGCTTTGGGCTCCCCCTTGATCCTCCATTGGCCTTTTTTTTTTATATCAGCATTGAGGATACTCATAGCAACGATAAATTAAGTGAATTTCATGTCTTTATAACGCGCGGTGTTTAGGAATCATTAATTAATCCCGTTTGTATTTGAGGTGGTGTGACCTGTAACTTGAGCAAAATTTTGATTCCGTCGATACCTGTCCTATAGAAACGGAACACATCGCTGTCTTCATCTCGAAATTTGAACATCGTCTATCGGTCGTGAGAACGGTTTTAACGGTCAGCGATTCGAAGCTTTTGATGTATAAGGTTGAAACTGAATACAAATGTTACGCGCGACATTTCAGGAAATGCTGCTTTCATAAGAGCAGTTTTGCTTCGTTCGTACTTTTTATTCACGCATAGCGTTATGTGATAATGATTCGCCCCAGGTATTGTAATCCGTGTTCCGGAATCCAGGAAATTTTTGCTCGTGGAATCCGGAACCCTGGGCATTGGAATCCAGAATCCCGCTGAAATTCATTTGCTGAAAATCCATATCATCTGTATCAACGGTTTTCATGCGCATCCATGCAACCACGGTCATGCTGCAGACCGTGCAGACCATATAGAACGCACTTTGTACGCTGGAGAATTTTGACTATTACAGCTCCCGAGACACTGACAAAATCATCATGACCTATCCCCCAATCGACTTCGATACTGACATAGCTAAAGTTCCTTACTAGCTATTAATGAGTCTTCTGCTCCGATTCAAAGACCTTATTTCCCAATAAAGTTCGGGCTAATCCCCATGAGCTCCAGAAACTTGAGCCTGCGATTTTGTTTTTTTAGGTAACGAGAGCTCGAAATAACCTCGTAAAATTTCGTCGTTTGGAGTCCAAAAGAGTGCAGTCCACTCACGTGGTCAATAGGTATGCAAATTTGGAGTGACAAAAGTAATTATTTACATAACAAAAGCGTTAAAATCCCACAGTATTTGCTTGGAACACCAACATGGCGACGGACCACACGTTTCCAATTACGACAAACTTTGAACAAAGTTATATATGGATACCTAAGGGAGCCGGGAGAGGTCTATTTCTAAGTCGAATTTTCGCCATTTAAACGTAAACCGCTTTCTTTGATATTTGGCATTCGGAATAACAAATTTGAAGATTTCATAAAGCATCCTATCTCAGAGCGAATGAAATAAGATATTACCAGATTTTAGGGTCGCACAACATTTCCTAGAAAAGAAAGTAGCGGCGGGCCACGTAATGTGACTTGACTTGGTTAACCTTTTTAAAGAAAAAAGGAAATATAGAAAAGAGAATCTGTTATTCTTGGAAAATTACCGTGTAAATGCAGATCTTTCGCGATTTTGCAAAGGTTAAAGTACAGTTGAGTTGGTTGAACACCGTTTTATGCGCTATCTCATAATGTCGAATATCATCGCCAGTTACATAGAGGAAAACAAGCTTTTCTCAGTCATAGTCTGCAATTATTTGTGACATACACGAGGTGTTATAAAATTGTATTTCAGTTTAAATTTTCCTTAATTTGGTCTTTGTTTAAAAGGAAAGTTAAAAAGGTAATTTGAGATGGAATCCGGAATCTGCAGGGGTAGAATCTAGAATCCAGCACCTTGCATGTAGATATGGAGTTTCTCTTCTCGTTTTCAACTCGACATCTCATTCGTTCGCTGCGCTCACTCGTGTGCGATCGAGTTAAACACTCGAAGAGAAATTCCATATCTATGCGAGCCCATGTATTATTCTCTATTTATTTTATTGTAATTGGGTAAATTTTAAAACTCAGTCCAAGTAAAATTTGCTAAGCCATATGAGCAATGATATAATCACTTTTACCTTTCAGAGGCACCACTTATAAACATCTCTTTGGGAGGAAAATATTACATTGAAGGATCCCCTGTCACCATAAGCCTGTGAAGCTTCTGGGAAACCACTGCCGGATGTAGCATGGATTAGAAATGGAGAACTGGAAAGTTCAGGGAAGAAAGCTGCGTTTTTAAAGTTCGATAATATAAACAGAACAGATGCAGGACAATATACATGTCAAGCCAATAACTCAATGGAAGTCACTTCTGTTGACACAACAATTGTAGTTCACTGTAAGTATATTTTTACCTTAATTTTCTATCTCTGAATTTACTTTATTTACAGTGTGAATCCTGTTATTGGGGTTAGTTACACAAAACTGATGAATCTGTTCAAAAGTGTAAAGGAAACAGAATTCCACCTCAAATCCTTTTCAGCTTTGTGTGCATCAGTCTCAAGTACTGGTTGGCACAATTAAATATAGGTGGAAACATTTTTTACGTTATTTTGCTCTGGAGGGCGCGACAATTTTCTCATTAAATCATTGCTTCAGTTGGACTGTTTTTAACTCAGAAAATGGCTTAAAGCCATTTGTAAGTCATTGTCACCACCCAAAATTCACTCTGTTTGCCTAGCGCACAAGGCTATCACATATTCCTATCCCGTGTGAGGGCTCTGGTTGGGGCTTAATGGAAAGCTGAGAATTGTTCAAGATCCTCACTGTAAGCTGCGAAATTACACTTTTTTTAACTGATAGCTGAGATCAGCTGGTAAATGTGAAAATGGGCTGAAATTAAAACTACATGCCCAAGGTTTTCGCTCATATTTTCATGTGTGGCGTTCGAAGAGATATACTATTTGAGGGCGAGAATCCATTTTATATTTCATTATTCGTAGGCCTTGCCACCATATACTGAATACTCGACTGTCAAATAACACAAAAGTGACGGACTCTACTATGGAGTGATTACAACCTTCATTCTTTGTTTTCATCGAAAGACAGGGAAAGGAAAGAGAAATGCTGCGCTCTTGTAATTGATGCCCATGACTTTCTGGTTTAGGAGGTTGTGTAACCTGCAAGCACTGTGCCGCCCCGCTCTGTGAGATACTTAATGAATGAGTTGCCAGTAATCGGATCCTTGTGTTTTCGCATAGATTTCTGGGATCGCCACGGGGCAAACATTGCAACTCACTGGAAGGAATTGTGTGGCGAAAGGTTTTCTGACGTCTGAAAAAAAGATTTTAGAGAGAGATTATCGTTTTTTTCGCCGTTCCTTTATCAGAAGTGGACTAGGGTAATGCTGATTCAAGGGAAGAGTAAGTTTTTGTTTGAAAAACTATGTAATGTGTAGTAAAATCTACCTATTAACTTGTCTCCACGCGCAAGGTTTATTGTGAATTTGACATTGCGTAATGGTTTCGAAATTTAGAAAAACCATATGAATCGCCAAGGAATAACTCAACTAAGCCGTGTCAGTTTTTTGTGCGTGAGTTAAGTCTATTTCTAGCTTGGCTTAGTAATACAAAAGAGCGCTATAAAAGCTACCTTGAGGCAGCAGGAGATTGAAATGGCGTGCTGAAGCATTAAATATTACTCTGGTACATTAAAGTGATAAAATACCTACACTTCTTTGTTGTGATGAATGAGAACCAATCAGCTTCGATATTTAGCTCAAAACTGAACCCTATCTTCTGTGACAATGAGTGATACAAATTGGTCGTAAGGAGTGATGCACAGCTGATAATACGTCCACAGTTTCTGCCGGAGTTCCCTTGATCGTGCTTTCCCTAACAAGATCCTCCAAAGAGTTCGAGAAGAAAAGTTGCGGCTCAAAGACCTTTGGATTTTTCTCAAACAAACTATCACTTGACCTAGGGATTTCTCATGTTTTTCATCACATATTGCATCCTTTTAAAGAGCAAAAGCTCGGTAAACACAATTGCCATCTCCGCTGACAACGACTTCTCTCCTTTGAGGAGGTATATTTTAAAACGTAATTTGTCTATCAAATACGTTAGAAAGTATAAAAATAGGCCGTGCATGTATAAATACAACTGAAAATACTTTTAAAAGTGTTATTTCGTAGCGATTTCTGGGTAATTTTGTAATACTTTGAGACCATTACACGATGACGATTTCACAATAGACCTTACGTAAGGAGAGAAGTTTTCTGTATTTTTATAACATATTCCGTGTTAATTCCAGCAAAAGCCTTAACTTCCAAGGTAACAGCATTATCTTTCACCACGTATGATAAAACTGCTGCGAAAAAGCCATAATCTCTTACCAAAATCGCATTTTTTGGACGTCCAAACAAACCTTTCGCCATACGTTCCTTTATAGCGGGTTACAATATCTGCCACGTGACGATCCCAGATATCTGTGCGCAAACGCAAGAATCCGATGACTGGCAACTCATTCATTGTTCCGCGTTTGCATATGCGCAGGCATTTGACCTCTGATGTTAGGAGCAGGTAAAAAGCAAGCATGGACGTTGTGCTAATCTCTAGATTTTGAACTCACCCATCAAAATGACACCAGACATGCTTTCTTGGATTATACCACATATCTAAAACATTTCCTGTAAAGAAAAAAAACAAGCAAACAAAAACGACGTAAATATCCAGAAATGCCATTTCGCCCAAGCCAATTGCAACGAGATCGCAGCATAAGGGTTTGTTGCTCCCACCAATCACATTTTGGTATCAGGGTTGCACTTGTGCAAGTACAAGTCTATTGTTACTGATGCTCTGTGACAACCTTTTTAACAAGCCATATTCAATATCTGCCTCTTTACAACAGAAAGTGAGTTAAAACAGTAATTTCCACTACCGCCTCGTGATTTTTGTCGAGGGATGTCAGACCTGCTTCTATTTTTAAGTCCTGGAATGGTCTAACATCTATCGATGTAAGGAATACATGTACTTGCATACTTTTGAGCCATATCATCGTACACGTAAATTTGACATTAATGATGATAACTTAATCTACGGACATAATCAAGATTATTACAGGAAATCATATTTCATTAGAAATGCTGAACTTTGGAACTTGTTACTATCTAGTATAAAAACAATCCACTGTTTTTCCTCTGTTAAGACCAACCTAAACAACATTTATGTTTCAAAACGAGAAACTTATGACCCTCCTGTCTGCTATTGATATATATGTTTTTAGTATAATTGCTTGGGTGATTATAGAGATGCACGCACTCTCATTGGTAGAGGAGTGCGTCATATCTCGCTTTAATCACCTTGGGTGAGGTAATTATAGTAGGAGCGCCAAATTTTAAAATGGCTCCCGTACATTTTGTTCATGTCACGCTGCAAGGGAAAAATGGTAAAGGAGAAAATTAAATTCTTTAGAGTGGGAAAGATGCTAATAAACTTGGCGTGACACTTCCAAAAGAAAGATATGAAGCTTTCCATATCTACGCGCGCCCATGTATTATTCTCTATATAATTTGCCGGAAACAAAACTAGAACTTAACGGTTAAATAAAACATGCTGAACTAAATAATTCGAGCCACACCTTGTTTTTTGGATTGAAAATATACTTTTCCCATTGTTTTGGTACTGGAGAGGCAGGACTCTGATTTGCACTTCGAGGCCGATGGATGTTCCCCTTCGCTAACGCACACCTCTTTTTATGAAGTCGTTCATTATTGCTCAAAGACCCCGTGGACTTGCAGCCAGTTGTTCCAAAAGAGGGGGCACCGAAGATTTCCGAGTTTTGACGAATTTGCATGTCTATGAAAACAGAAACTAAAGGTTGCTCTTTCTAGAAATGTAAGTTATGAGCTGTTTTACCATAGTATTCAAGCCTATGTTGCTTAATCTGGCAATTAGTGTAAACAGGTGTTTATAAATTTCCGGATTTTTTTTAGTTCTGGAGTGAAATTTCACGATTACTTGTCTTGAAGTCCTTAAATTACGATTATTTATCTCAAATGGCATATCTTCCGATTAATAGCCTCAAGACATCTTCTATCACGATTAATAATTGTGATAAGTACGGCTATTAATCGCAACTGAACTCATGTGTCTTAAGTCGACATCAACTGAGACGAGTCATTCATTCGACAACATTCTCAACGACCCTCAGTAGTTACTTGCCGAATATTTTCTAAGTGCCTTGCAAATCAACTTCCGGTGTGACAGGTCGACTTTAACTGAGAAGAGTCGGTCGAATCGAGTCGATTTGACAACATCTTCAACCCCCGTTTAATAGCTACTTGCGATATTTTCTAAGTGTCTTACAAATTGACTTCCGGTATGCATTTCCATCTAATGAGAGAGCGGTTTGGGTGTACTGGACAACCCTCATTTTGGTTGTACGATCAAATTTTTCCGACTTGATGGGTTACTGTTGTAACTATTATTTTTTTAATTAGTATAGTCTACGCTGCGTGTTTTCCGCGCTCCGCTATTGAATCAATGCAAGTCCCATTGATTAATTCAATTTAAAACAAATACCTCACGTTTTAACTTTTTGTGAAGGATTAAAATTAATTACAAACGGTTTTTAGGCCGCAAGTCAACCCATTTCGTGACCCACGGCTTTGCTTAAAAAATAATGCCCAGCTAGCTAAACGAAATTTATTTATGAAGAATGGCAACGAAGGTACGGATGACTCTGCATCTCGCGATAAGTGTTGCTATGCCCTCAGACAGGGATAGGAAAACACGGACCGCGCTAAGAAACCATCAGATTGCGGGATTCGTTAGCGTGCCCTCTAAGAAAAATATAAATACACCTTATTCTGGTTGCGAAGTAATTTTTCCGAGCCCTGAGAGGCGAGAGAAAATGTGAGTAATGAGCAAAATTTCCGCTCGTATTATGTGTTAAACTCTCGAATAATTGATTTATTATTCCACTGTTATTTTCAGTTATCAGTGTTTTAATTTTAGTATGCGAATTACATCCTACGGCCTTATCTGTGTATCGTATCGGTCGTAGAAGGTGTTCTTTCTTGCTTAAAAGTTCGCTACTTTAGCAGTCAAATTTAAAAAATTAAACAAAAAAATTAAAGTTTGGATCGTTCAGGGCGGCCAATGTGTTGCTACGTATTTTTGGCTTGTTCTAAAGTGTAATACTGTGGCATATTTTG